GGATCAAACCTCACAAGGCAACTGGCCCAGACAACATCCTGGGGAAGGTGCTGAAAGACTGTGCCGATCAGCTCTGTGAAGTGCTGGCTGACATATTTAACTCCTCCTTCACCCTGACAACAGTTCCCACCTGCCTCAAGACTGCCACCATTATCCCAGTTCCAAAGAGCTCTACAGTGACTGGCCTGAATGACTATCGGCCAGTAGCCCTCACCCATATAGTGGCTAAATGCTTTGAAAAACTGGTCATGACCCACATCAAAGCTAACATCAATGTGGACTCTCACCAGTATGCATACCATGAGAATCTATCAACAGAGGATGTCATCTCCTCTGTGGTCCACACTGCTCTCCCCCACTTGGAGCAGAAGGACTCCTACATCCATATGCTCTTCGTGGACTTCACATCTGCCTTCACCACCATAATTCCCCAGACCCTGATGGGCAAACTAATCACAATAGGACTAAGTTCCTCTCTATGCAACTGGGTCCCAGACTTCTTAACCAACAGACCACAATCTGTGAAGATCCACGACTTCTCCTCCTCCACCATAACCCTCAGCATGGGCTCCCCCCAGGGCTGTGTGTTGAGCCTCCTCCTGTTCACTCTGCTAATGTATGACTGCATACCAACCCATCCAGGCTGTCATATTGTAAAGTTTGCAGACGATATAGCGTTAGTTGGATGCATCAAAAACAATGATGAGTCCAGCTACAGGCAGGAGGTGAAACACCTGGAGAGCTGGTGCAGGACGAACAACCTTCACATCAATGTGAATTAGGGCATTAACAGAGTACTCGAGTAATCTACACATCGATTGTTAGGACATCTATCGAGGTTAAAAATTTAACATCGAGTATCCGTAGTGACATCATATTATGTGACCACCGTATGACCGTAGGGGGCGGTGTTGCACTGTTGCAGGTCACAGAGTATGGTGTAACACGAAGTCCAATCCACAGAACCAGTTTCGGTTAAGTTTCGATTTTGACGTGCTGCACGTTTCTTCACGCTTGCAGTTTAATAATAATAACTAATAGTTTAGTTTTTCCTGTGACTTATTTGCAGTACGATAAATGGTAGGAGCATAATATACACTCCCAATGTTTTGTTGGTCTTTTTTGTTGTTGTAAATAATTACCTTTAATTTGCGGTTTTATTTATTTATTTATTTTTGCATCTTGAGATATATGACATCATCAAATACTCAAGTTCTACTCTGGTTTTATTATGTTAATGTCGAGTTTAAAAATTATATACTCGTTCAACCCATAATGTGAATAAGACGAAGGAGACGGTCATGGACTTCAGATGGAATAAACTCACCTACCACCCACCCCCCCCACGAACATAGGAGGATCTGTGGTGGAAGTGGTCTCCAGCTACAAGTACTTGGGTGTGCACCTGAATGCACCCTCAGCTGGAGCAACAACATTACCAGCCTGATCAAGAAAACTGTGAAAAATCACTGTAATGCCACTTGGTTGTTGATATGTGCTGATGACTATCCATGATGCTGATCTTATGCTGCTGATCATTGCATGCTGCTGTGTTCATTGGTCCTCATCTGCTCACACAGACTCATGTTTGTGCTGCTGTTGTGTTGGCGCATTGTTTTTGTACTATTAGTGCTTAGCGTATTCTTAGTCTTGTGTATTCTTAGTTTAGTGAATGTAGTATATTCTTAGTTCTTAGTTTGACTAGGATCTTACTAATGTTTTTCTTTACAATTTGTGTTTTTGTAAGATGTAACTGGGACCCTGTGTATATAGTTTTGTCCCACCTCATGTACCACGTGTGTTGTGTATGACAAATAAATCTCTCTGAATCTGAATGTCTGAATCTCTGAATCGGGGCAACCTTCTCGCTGAGAGGCAGCAGCTCTATCAACTGCACCATCGTGCTGCCCCATATTTTATGTTGTCCCATGAAAAATATAATACAATATTAACCAAAATATGAGGGGTGTACTCACTTTTGTGAGATACGGTTTTTAGGTGTAAAAAGATCCCTCTACCGGGGTAGTCCTAGAGGGGGGTCATAAATTAATATATGGTAGCCAAGGCCACTATTGGCCACCCCCCTGGCTCCAAAATTGCACCAGGATAAAATTGTTCCCTCCACTCACCAGGATTGGTCACCCTGCATCGCCTTGGACAAGCAAAAAGAAAAAGGTATACACTTTATTTTTTTTACACAGTGTAACTCCTACCCACTTGACTATCTTGCACCAAAAAATAAAGGTTTTCTTGCATTTCTTGTTCAATTCCAGTCCAGAAAAATGTTCATATCAAAAACTACAAAGATTCATTGTTCAACTTCACCACTTGCTCTTGCCAAGGTTGGACGCTTTTCCTCTCCCCTCCCTCTCCACTTTGATTTGCTGCTCTGTCTGTCTGTGAAACTGCTTCTGAGCCTCTCTTGCATATCTTCTGAATCATAATTATGGACTTGTTTTGATCAGTTGGTCCCTCATCACAATTGATAACATTTCTTCGAAGAGAAGACAGGCTTTAGGCAAGCCGATTTGCCCTGTTGGCATGCACGCAGCTGGATATCTCATCGACTTGAAGACTTGATGATGCGTCTATCTTTGCTGCCATTTGTGGA